CAAGCTGGACACTCATGCCTCAGGAGACCACATTTAGAAAGACCTTCCCTTTTCTTCTGGATCTTCCTACCTCAAACCCAAGTATTCTGTCTTGTATGAAAGGACTTTTAAAATTTAACATTTAATATCTTGGTTCATTTTAACTGATGCAAAAACTTCTAGATAGATTTGAACAAAAATACCTATTTGTAATATAGCTGCCTGGCTTATACACATTTCACTACATGCAGTTGCCCAAAATATAAGATGTTAATGCATACTTAAACTGAAACTCCACCCTATCTTTAGTATCATTAACACATATTTTATGTTAACATATTGTTGAAGCAATTTGATTTCAAACTCAGAGTCTCCAGCAGTTTTAATAGTTTTTCTGTTGGGACATCTAGGAGTGTCAGGGAATAAGCAGACTTCTCTTTGTAGCCTCAACAGAGAGAAAATTACACTTCTTATGTCTGCACATTGGTTCTGCTGCTGAAAGAAGAGGCATCCTGCCCTACCTGGAGCCTCCTTGCTCATCTAGTTCTCTAAATACTGCCTGCCCATCTTTCAAAACAGAAAGTAGGTAATTAATGTGTGCCAATTCTGATAGTCAGCAATATTAATACACATGTATGATTGTAATATAAAACAGTATACACTGATACTTTTTTGTTCTCTTTTCCAACTTGGATACACACTGTAGCCCCACCTATTTTATGGTTTCACAGAAGGGAGACTTCCACTGTCCTCTGTATTTAATTTCAATGAGGGCTGATCCAATGTAACATCCAGGGAGAGGGTGAGGATACAGAGTATTTCCCAGCAAGAGTGTCTATGCTCTCAGCATTTTCAGTGAACCAGTTTTGCAAAGCTGATGCAGCCTCAGGTTGTGCCAGGGGAGGTCTAGGTTGGATATTAGGAAAGATTTCTTCACTGGAAGGGTTGTCCAGCCCTGGCACGAGCTGCTCAGGGCAGTGGTGGAGTCCCCATCCCTGGAGGGGTCCAAAAACATGTGGATGTGGCACATGGGGACATGGTTTAGTGGTGGCCTTGGCAGTGTTGGGTTAATGGTTGGAGCCGATGATCTTAGAGGGCTTTTCCAACCTCAGTGATTTTATGATTCTATGATTTTATGAATTCAAGTAGCCTGTGGCCTGCAGCTTGGGAACCTGCTGCTGAACTCCTGGGAACCCCAGCAAGATCAGTGTGCCCACAGCACCCCAACACCCTGCACTGCCAGCTGAGCTGACAGAGTGCCACAGGACATCGTCTCTCCAGGACATGTCACACAGAAGCATGGAATCACAGGATGGTTTAGGTTGGAAGGGAGCATTAACATCATCTCATTCCAACCCCCTGCCATGGACAGGGACACCTTCTACTAACCCAGGTTACTCAGACTGTCCCTTCCTACCCCATCTTGCTGATAGCCCTGGGAATTCTGCAGGGATTTTGGCTGCAGCAAGATACAGGGTCTAGGAATCTATTTATAACCTGTATTTCCTACAGATTCATTTCCTGGAATCTTTGCTCCAAAGAAATGACAAGAAGAGCTGAAGATGGATCTTGGATATTTATGTATTTTTCCAGCAGCATAGCAACATCCTCAGGCTTACACTGGGAACACTGGGAGATTTTCCTCTTCCTTGACTCAAAAATGAATGGTTTGTACAGGACATTACCCCTGTGCTGGTTTGGGCTGAGGTAGAGTTAATTTTCTTCAGAGTAGCTGGTACAGGACTGTTTGGAATTGTGCTGCAAACAGAGCTGATAACCCAGGGATGTTTTGGTTACCACTGAGCCTCAAGGCCTCGGCTGCTCCTCACCCAGCACTGCCAGCGAGGGGGCTGGGGGTGCACGAGGAGATGGGAGGGGACACAGCCAGGACAGCTGATCCCAACAGGGGTATCCCAGACCATTTGGCATCATGCTCAGCATACAAAGCTGGGGGGAAGAAGAAGTTAGGGGTGGACATTCAGAGGGATGGCGTTTGCCCTCCCAAGTAACTGTTCATGTGACGGAGCCCAGCTGTTCTGGGGGTGGCTGAACACCTGCCTGCCCAGGAGAAAGGGGAATGAATTCCTTGTTTTGCTTTGCTTGTGTGGCTCTTGCATTCCCTATTAAACTGCCTTTATCTCAATTCATAAGTTTTCTCACTTTTGCCCTTAATGATTCTCTTTCCCTCCCTCTGGGGAGGAGTGAACAGCTGAGGTCCAACCATGACATCCTGGTATATACAGGGAGGATTTTCCTGTGTCAGCTCAGCAAATACCACTGTTCTCCATGGGCAGCACATGGGAGAAGGAAGTTGATGTAATATAACATCAGAAAAAAGTGTGGGGAGGTTTATAAGTGATGAAGTTTATCTCCTGCTTCTTTTTATTTCCTGCTTGCTGTTCTTTGAAGTGTGATGCCTCCTTGCATTTTACCCTTGGGCTATGGACAGAGCTATCAAAGACACCCAGCAGGAGATCCCAGGGCCTGAAAGATTATTTTTATCAGCCTATGGGTACTGGACTCTCAGTAAAAAAGAAATATGTATTGCAGAACATTACCTGATGTTAGCCTGAACAATGAGTGCTGACACTGTAACTTCTGCTGCATCTCACCTATGCAAGATGCCTCTTCACTGCAGGTCCCAAAAATAAACTGGTGGCAGAGCTGTGACTACCAGCCACTGCCCCTTGTACATCACATGGGTATTTTAACCTATATATCTTTTGTAATTAAATCTTTAAGTAGTAATTTGCACCAGTTGAAAGGTTACTCAGCATGTGTGCCCTGTTGAGGTACCCAGCATTTCCTCAGCAAGCAATATCATGAGGTAGAAACACATTTAGACTCTGTTAGCTTAAAATCCAGTCCCTGGCACAAATGTCTCCTAGGCCAGCTGGGCCAGAATAGGTCTGTACTGGGGCAGGGTCTCATTGCTACATTAACAGAATATGGCTCTTTGCTGCATTTGCCTCTTCTAGCACAAGCTGCTGTCAGTGAAGACACACACCTTGGCCTTTTTGCTCAGCTGGTTTGCCACATGATCTACTGGGAAGCCAATCACCCACAAGAGAATGTAGGAACTGTTTTACCCAGCAGCTGCCCTGTTGCAAGACTCCTCAGAAGGTGAGGCAGCAGGAACCCATCACAGAGGTGTGGAGGGAGTGGGATAGGGGTGTGGGAGCAGCTGGGCTGTGATGCCCAGTGTCAGTGTCGCACCTTCTGAGCCCTGGGTGTCAGCAGTGGAGTGGGTTTATCTCTGCCAGGAAGTTTCTGCTAATTATCACCTCACCCCAGCACCTCTGCCATGATTTCACCCCGTGGTTTAACCACCTCTTGCTGCAGCTGGAAGGGGCAGGTAGAGCCTCGCCCTCCCCACCTCCTGCCATGCTGCCACTCCTAATTTTGTGATGGCAGCAGCATTTGCCTCACCCTGATCTTAATTCCAAGCCAACAAGCAGACAATCACCCATCCTTCTTCCCAGTAAGGTGCAGACCAACAACAAAGGACTCGTATAAAGCTTTCTTGTCCTTTAGTAGGAATCTTATTGCCTGCTAAAGCCAGAGGCTCAGGAGGGGTTGCACGCCTGGTTCATCTTCAATACAAAGGGGGTTTCAATACATTGGGGTTTGGGGGTAATTTTCAGCACTTCTAAACCACAGAGACTTAATGCAAAAGGTAGTGGTGTCAGTAGTGCTGTTCCAGCCCCAGGTGACTTTCCCAGATTACAGCAGCCTGATGCCTTTTTTGGTTGTTTTTAATTACTTAAATGTCAACAGCATGCAGGTGTCTGAGGAGCTGTGCCCCCCTGAGCAATGCTGGTGGCTCCAGGAGCTGTGATGGGACTTCATCTCTCAGCCAGTCCCAGCTGCAGGAATCAACCTGCCCTGGGTGCAGCTTTGGGAGCCACAATATGAGAAGGATCTGAAGGTATTGGAAAAAAGGAGGATGATGAAGAGTCTAGAGAGGAAGCCGTATGAGGAGCAGCTGAAGTCACTTGGCTTGTTCAGCTGAAGAAGAGGAGACTGAAGTCAGACTTCATCAGGGCCTGCAGCTTCCTCAGGAAGGGCAGTGGAGGGGCAGCTCTGATCTCTGCTCTGTGTGACCAGTGACAGGACCCTAAGGAATGGCTGGAGCTGTGTCAGGGGAGGGCTAAGTTTGATATTAGGAAAAGGTTCTTCCCCCAGAGGGTGGTTGGGCACTGAACGGGCTCCCCAGGGCAGTGGGCACAGCACCAAGGCTGCCAGAGCTCAAGGAATGTTTGGACAAAACTCTAAGGCACAGGGTGAGATTGTTAGGTGTCCTGGGCAGGGTCAGGAGTTAGACTTGATGATCCCTGTGCATCCCTTCCAACATAGAATATTCCATGATTCTAGAGAAGCAGCTGTGTGTAAACGAGCTCTTTTTGTCCCACTGCTGCTCCCCAAGGTCTCACAGCATTGCAGCTCATGATTTTGCTGATTAAACTACTTTCTGTGTGTCTGATACCCCCTGTCAGCCCTGCTGAACCCGCTCAGCCCTGGAAGAGCCAGCTGGGCTCTATCTTGGTCCATGCCTCAGAAGCAGAACTGTTCACAGTGTTCTGACAGTGAACTCACACATAGTTGCAAGAATGGGGTAAGATGGGGCCAACTTTGTAATATTTTATAGGTTTTTTAAAGCCCTGTCTCCATGTGTTGCCTGTAATTCTGAACTTTTTCTCTTTAGAAGAATGGCTGCAGAGAATCACAGGCATCTCAACCTGAAGATTCAGCCCTCGAAAGCAAAGAACCACTTCTTTCCTTCTTTATAAACTTCTGTTAACTTTCATTGTGCTGTGCAAAGCGGAGGAGTGGATTCCTGCTGCTCGGCTGCCCGGAACAGGCATCGCCGAGTGCCAGCTATGGGCACTTTTGGGGAACTGCAGGACTTCGCAGCAATATTCCTGTCGGGATCCCAGCGGTACCAACAGGCAGCTCTCACAGCCAAAGGACAGGGCAGATTCCTCCATCAAAAAAAAAACCACAAATCTGCCTCTCTGCCGATGCAAATCCCCGGGCAGGCACAGCGACCTCCGGCCGGGCTGTCCCGGGATCCCCCGGCGGCTGTCCGGATCCCGCGGGCAGGCACAGCGATCCCCGCCGGGCTGTCCGGGATCCCCCCGGCCGGGCTGTCCCCGGGATCCCGCGGCCGGGCGATCCCGCGCTCGCTCCCCGCTGCCGGCGCCGGCTCCCGCCCTTGCCGCGCGCGGGCCTCGCCCCGCCCCTCGCCGCAGGTCCTGGCAGGGCCGTAGGGAGGCAGCGCGGGGGCGGAGCGGCGGGAGCGGGCAGGACCCGGCCGGGACGATGCTGCCTCGCGGGCCGCGCGCGGGCGGTGAGCGGGGGCCGGGGAAGCGGGGGGCCGGGCCGGGGCCGGGGCTGGGTCCGGTCCGGGCCCGCTGAGCGCGCTGGGCCTCGCAGGGCGGCGGCGGCGCTGAGGGCGGCGCTGGGCGCGGGCGCGGAGCGGCGGCGGGAGCTTTGGATGCGGCGGGCGAGCGGGGCCGGGCGCTGCTGCGGCCGTGGTGAGTGCGGGGCGGCCCGGCACACCCTGCGGCCCCGGGCACACCCTGCGGCCCGGCACACCCCTCGGCCCCGCGCCTGGTCCGCGGCCGCGGGGCCGGGTCGGTGCACATCGCCGGCCCCGGCGCTGTTTTGTTCCCCCAGGGGCGGCGAGGAGGAGGAGCAGCCCGCAGCCCGGCTCCGGGCGCTGGACACGGTGAGCGCTTCCCCCGGCCCGAGGGCCCCTCGGGTCACACCGGGGCTGAGCCGGGTTCGGTGTTAGGAGCCGTTCCACTTTTCTGCGACTTAACCCCCCTCTGCCTTTTCCCTCCCACTTTCCTCCTTGGAGTTAGCTTGGAGTCGCGCCTCGGTAATCCAGGTCAGTGGTGAAGTGTCTCTAGGCCTGACCCAGGTGTGGGGTTGTCACTTGCTGAGGTTGGTTCTGCAGAACTCTCTTCTGTGGCTCACACCCATCCTGTGTTCAGGGCTTCCTGCAGCCTGCCTGCATCCTCTGTGCACTGGCTGCTCCCACAGCCAAAAAAAATACCCCCTGCACCATTCATCGTTTCTGGTTCCCTTCTGTAGTACATGGCAAAGCAGATTAGTGAAGAGACAGATGGGCAAGATCCAGGGTTGGACTTTCTGACGTGTCGTCTCCTCTTGCAGAGAACAGGCCTTCACCCAAGGAGCTGGAGGAGCTGGAACTGCTGAACAGGGCCTTAGAGAAGGCACTGAAAGTCAGGAAAAGCATCTTGAAAAGTCCATTAGAGGCCCCGGGAGCTACAGGAAAGAAATTGGCAGGTGAGGGACCTGCTGCCAGGGAGGCTGAAGAGCAGCAGGTGCCTGTACCTGTTGAGGATGTTCCTGAGAGCACAAAGGTGGGAACTGGAAGCAAGAAGCCTGGCTCTTCAAAGAAGCCCTCTGCATACCAGCTAAGAGCCCCTTATAGGACTGACCCAGATGTGAAGAAACCACAAAGGAAAGCCCCAGCCAGATGTGTTTCTCAAGGTCCCAGGACATCTGGGAAGAGCTCCTCAAAAGGGGTGGCTTCGAAACAAAGAGGGAGTCAGAGGACAGCAACTGGCAGTGCCACAGAGGTCTGTGCTCCAGCTGAACCCCAGAAGACACTTGGCTCGTCCAAATCTGCCCCAAATGAGCAGCAAAGTTTTTCTGTGGGGGACTCAGCTGGGGGAAAGAACTCAATAGCTGCTGGCCAGGAGTTATTTGATGCAGGGAAGAAAAGCTGTGGTTTCCTGGGAGAGTCCAGCAAAAAGGAGGACACTGCAGGTGCATCAGGAAGGAGCCTCTCACCTGGGACAGGCATCCTGTGGGAAAAGGGGTGAGTGTGGGAGGTGGGCACCTCTCTTCGTGTTCCACTTGACACTCAGAGGCACATCTCCAAACCCTGCTGGCTGCTGCTGCTCCTTGGGGCCCCAGCCTGCTTTCACTGTCCTCCCATCCCTCTCAAGAGGAAGCATCCTGTACAGTTTAAAAGCCTTTACTGTGGTTGAGCAAGTGGTTTTAATTTAAAGGGCTTCTTGGATGGCTGGGACTTTGAAAGCCTTTCAATTAAGACTGTTGGTATTTCATAGTCCCCTGTGACTGTTATGGAAAGCTGTCTCTGTAGAGCTTTCTTGAGCCTTAGTTTTCCTCTGAGTGCACTTTCTATTATAGCATATTGATTTTTTTATTTGTTCTCTTTTTACACGGTGATAATACATAATGCATGAATTTGCACTCTCTCTAAAGCAGGTGCCCAATGCTCTTTGCAGTGATGGCATCTGGGTTAACCTGTAAGAGGCTGCCCATGTAACTACACAAATCAGGATGGACTAGAATGCAGTTGTTTCAAGTGTTTGGTATGGGAAGGATTATGACATGGATGTTACTGAGATTCTCTGTGGAAAAGTGGCAAAATAATACTTGGAATGTTGGCTTTGCATTCAGGCCACTCTGTCTTGTTTAAAGAATTTCTTTTCTGTGTACTGTTTGCTTTAAAGACACAGTGAAGGTCAGCTCTGATGTCCCAGGAAAATTTTGAGGAATACCTCTCATCTACCACAACCCAGACTGTTGTGTTTGTGCAGGAAGGAAATTATCCCTGTTCACTGGCATTGGAAGGGACACAGGACACTGAGTGACAGTTGCTGGGGGAACAGGGATCTGGATTCAAATGTTTGTGTACTTAAAATCTCAACTGTGGCCTTGGGTTCCTAGTCTGCATGTGACTAATAACTGCCAACCCATTTGTTTTTGTAGTTACAACTTGAGGATTATTTTACTTTGGGGTTAAGAACCATATTCCAATGGAAGCTGGAATGTCCCTTTCCCATTTCTTTGAGTGTGATGTGGTGCTAAGCAAAGCTGCCTTGTCCTGCTCAGGTAGAGCAGCAGGGTTGGACAGACCAGCTTCCCTGAACAAGTTGTTTCCATGCCTGTTCTCGGCCGTGCCAGGGCTTTGCTCCCAGCTTCCCACCTTGGATGAGCCTCTGACAGCTGGTGGCAGGATGCAGGAGCTCCTGCAGGTCAGCTCAGTGATGTCTGTAGAAATTAGAGAGGAGCCTGAGCCTCCTTCCTTGAGGACAAGCTGGAGGCAGTGGTGGATTCAGTCTCCAGGGTTGCTGACATCTCCCATTGCAGCTAAATTAATTCCAGATTTTGACAAAATATCATTTTCCCTGTTGGAAGACAAGGCTCAACTGCTCTCTGGCAGCCAGGATTGATCCTTCTCCTGTTTTGCAGATGCCAGCTGAAGCTCCCCCTTCCCTACAGGATAGCCTATTCCAGGAACTCCAGGTAAGCCCAGCCTGACTAGTGCAGTCCCTCTGCTTAAGGGCTGTGAGGAGGGGCCGGGTAGGGGGCCGTGGCTGGTGGTGGTTCCTGGGCAGGCAGTGACCTCGTGGGGTGTGGGGCTGAACTGGGAGCAGGAGGAGTGCTCTGCAATGCTCTTGCTGAGGATGTGTGTGCTCATGTTATTCTAGCTGCTAGAATTTATTTTCAGAGTGCTAATTACTCTTGCTCACTGAGTCATGAAGGAACTGGAATGTTTTATTTGTGGGTTTAACAGTGCAGCAGAAGCCTCTGCTGGTAGCAGACACCTGTTGGAGGCAGGAGACCCTGTGGGGTGGGTACCTCTGTACCCTATCCACTGAACAATTCCCAAACCAGCCGTGCCCTGCCCTGCTGGGACACCTCTGGAAGCACCACAGCTGTGTGTGTTTGAGGCTGTTCCTGCTGTTCAGCTCGTACAGAGAGCCAACTCCAGAGTTCCTGCAGTGAGGGTGCAGGTGGTTGGGTTTCTGGTGAGCTCAGTGCTCTGGTGCATTCTCCAGTCTTCTGGAAGGGTTTCCCACATTTACTCTGAGAAATCTTGCCATAATTCAGCAGATTTCTCATTATGTGCTTAATTCAGATGTTAAGCTTAAACCCTGTCTTAACTCTAACTATAGCCCCTTGTGCTGCCCTCAAGAATTTCTCCTCCTCTTGGGAACTGTCATTTATCAGCCACCAGTTTGTTAGTTGCCCTTCAGCAAGTTGTAAAGACTTTATTCCCTTAATTTTCACTTGTAAATTGAGCCTTTCAGCATTCTAATCGCTCTGGTGTAATTTTATACTTTTCACTATTGCTTTCAACTCAGTGACAGATTGAGAATAACCTTTGCACTAAAGAACCCTTGTAGAGGGAATGCATCTTGCCTGGGAACTTCTGTTTTCTCCTGTTCCATTAATCTTGCCACTTCTTTGCATAATGTATTTCTGAAATCTGCAGTTCCTAACATGATTTAAAAGACACATGCACATGAGTTAGACAGTCAGGCACTGCAGAACTATTTTAAGCTTCCTCCTGATGGCTCTCACTGCAGCAGATTTTGGGAGATTGGCTTTTTAAACCAGTTCTTAAGTAAAGGATATTATGGGGACTGTGTATCCATGGGGATGGTGAACTCTGTAAGTGAAATGCATCTCTCTGGTAATGCTGCTATTTGTGTAGTGCTTTATTTAAAAAACTGGACTCTGGTGTGAACTCCTGGCCAGCTTCCTCATGATACTGTCCTTTAGCCTGTGTCTTGCATCCCTGATGCTGACACACTGCTGGCATACTGCCTGCCAAACATAGCATTTTGTCCCCCCAAAAAAGGATTAAAGGAGAATCTTGAGGAAGTTTGGCATGTGAAGGAATTGGGGTGAGAGTTTGTCCTGTCTGCTCTTCTTTTTGTGCACCTTTACTAACAGAACAACTGTGCAGAAATGCAGATGACTTGCTCCTAAGAAAGGAAGGGAAGATTTGGTGTTTCCTATGGGACATGAACATAGGGCAATACAACAGAATTAGGGATGTACTGCAAGTTCACATTCTGCTTCTGGAAATGTGCTGTCTGTCTTCTGATGGCTGTAAATCCTTCCCTTTAAAACAAGTGGAGAGGGGAACAGGTGTTTTGCAGTGTCTAATGCTTTCTGCAGGGTGTCCTTGCTGATCTAATACCAGCTGTGGGAATGAGTTGGGAATGGTTAGTAAATAACCTGTGAGAGAGGGGGGTGATGGAGACGCTTGTAATTAAAGCACTGATGTGTCACACTGGTGTGTCACGGCTCAGTGTGAACACTGTCTGGTACAAAGGAGTGTAACTTCCACCTCCTGCCCCTTTGGAATTTTCAGGGCATGGGAGAAATGTCATCTGTGCCAAACAAGTGCAGATGCAGCAGCTGCAAGGGCCCGTTTTATGGAGAGGATCCAGACAACTGTATCCTTTCCCAGCAGGCTCCGGGTACAGTTGCTCCACAGTGAGCTCCCAGCTGGAGAGAGTAATGCCTCCAATACCAGCACTTCAAGCTGGCTCTCTGGGAAGTGGGGTTTTTCATAGTACAGCTCTCGAGCACTTACAAAACTCTTGATCCAGCCAAACATGGCTACAAGGCAAACATGCCCTACACAGCTGTGCTGTGCTGTCCTCAGCTTCCCCCTGCAATGCCACTTCCTGGGCTGTTCCCTCTGTCCCTGCTCCCAGCTGGCCTGGCCAGGGATGCTGCACTCAGCTGGTGGTGTGGAACTTTCCTTAAGCTGCTGCTGTTTGAGTTTTGTTCACCGAAGGCAGACTTCAGTCCTGCAGAGATAGAGGAGGAATTGAGGGTCCTCCAGGATGTCTCCTCCCATCTGAGGCAGTATGTGGAAGCTGAGACTGCAGGTAAGAAGGAAAAAAGGGGGTGGAGGGGCAGAAGGTGGAATAAGGATGGTCTGGACTCCAGTTCCATCTGTTTTGTGTCCTTGCCATGTGCTGGACTTGAGGACAGGAGCTTTGCCTGCCTAAAATGAGGGCTGGTGAACCCAACGCTGCTCTGGAAACTGGTGTCTGGGGAGGAAGGTTCCAGTATGCTCATGCCTGCTGGGTTTCCTCTGCTTCTCTTGTAGACCCTCCCACTCTACAAAGGGAGTATGAAAGCCTTTTGACCTTGGAGGGTTTGCAAACCACAGTTGCTCAGTGCCTGCAGAAGCTGCAGCTTCTTCGAGCAGGTGAGTCAGTCCCCGTGTTTGTGGTCAGGTGTGAATGTGCTGGAACAGTGGTTTTCCATCTGTGCAGGACACTGTGGACAAGGTAATTTTTCTCCTGGTTATCCTTAATGGTAATGGAGCACATGAAATTGTCTGGTGGCAAACAAAGCCATGGTATCTGTGTGCCACGCCTCTGTGTTCAGGAGAGGCTTGGAGCTTTTAACTGCTGCAGTTCAGGAGGGCTGGGGAAGGAGCTGCTGGGGACACTGGATGCCATAGCTTAGGATGTCCTGATTGTGCTGGGAACAGTAAGTAGATCATAAATTCTGCAAGTACAGATTTAACTTGTGTGGTTTTGTCTCCTGCCTGTTCTTGCCCCCTGGCAGCTCTGGAGTCCCAGCTGAGGCTGCGCCCAGACTGCACTGGGGATGTGGGAAGCTGCTCCCCAGCCTGTGTCCCTGCCAGGGGACAGATATGTGACACTGCAGGAGTGCTGGCTCTGCCTCTCCTGTGTTACTCCAGCTTCCAGGAGCTGAGGGACCTGTTTGCCTTGAAGCTGCAAGTGTCAATGCTGCACCAAGAGATTGCCCTACAAAAGGTGAGTCTGGGAAAGTGTTAATGCTCCTGGAGCAGGGAAAGGAAAGGGCAGTTGTGGGGCACCAACTGCTGGATGGGGTCTTGATGGGGAGCAGCAGCACAGCAAGCTTCCCCAGTCGTGTTTCTGTGTTTATGCCTCACGTCCAAGTCCCCTCAGTGCCTTGCTGTCTTTGTAGGTGAATGGAACTGACTGTTTTTTGTTAGAGCCGGAGCAGAGGCCTTTATGTGTCTGACCCTCTCCTGATAAGGTTTTATTTAGCTGTTCTGAAAGAATTTGGCAGTGGAGGATGTTGGTAATGCCTGAAGGCCCCTTTTGTCAGCCCTTCACAGTCCCACGAGGGCACCCACTGTGTCATTCTCTCCTGTGTGACCTCCAGCTAGTGAACTCCTCTGCTCTCTCTTCCTTTCCTTTTAAACCTCAAACCACTGTGCTGCTAATCTTGATTTGACCATTCTGAGCCTGTGAGAGCAGGGTAGGAGGTGTCAGCTTCTTCAGCAGCCCGAGCAGAGAGCTTGCTGCACAGAGATTACTTGTTCTTCTCAACCAGCAGCAAAGGGCAGAGAAGATCTATGAAATCACATCCACTGTTGACCTGAATGATAGAGCCTTTGGAAAAGTAATTTTTTCTAAGCCACAGAGGAGTTATTAATAACTGGCTGCACTCCTCCCTCTGGCTGAAGATAGATTGCTGCCTGTCCTCAAATGGGACTTCAGCATTATAGTCCTGAATTATGGATTGTGAAGGTTTTGGGTTCTTTATCTGCCCAAAATGAAGTGATGACCAAAGCCACATTCCTGCTGCTCTGTGACTGACTCAGTTTCCTCTGCACATGTATCCAAATAGGTGTTTTGTGGTAGATGAGCTCTGAGGGTCTGAAGCAGCTCTGCAGGGTGAAAATAAGTGAAATTGTTGGAACAGGTGAAATGAGTGGATGTGATACAAGATAAATATCCTGGGAAAGGATGTACCTATTTCTGGACCAAGCCTGTCCATTGCCTTTCCATGGAGGAATGCCAAGTATCACAGAGACTCCTGGTAGCTCTTAGACTCTCTTTGGTGGTGAAGGTCTGTTTCCTCTGTTCTTACACATCAGGAGCAGAGCAGATGGATGGAAAAGAGAAGGATATCTCTCTTAGGAAGTAAAGCAGGGCAGCATTCTTTCATGTGCAGCTTTCCCCTTAGGTAGCTTTCATGTCTGTAGAGACTTCCCAAAGATTACCAACTGTGTCCTGCTTCCCTGTCCTTGTGCAGACATATGTGGAGCAGTATGAAAATCCCAGAGGAGGTCTGCCTGAGCATTAATTCAAGAGTGGGGCACCAAAGGCCAGCTTCTGTCCTTTGATTGGAAGTGACCTGTGCTTGAGTTGTCTCTCACAGTCCTAGTCCCAGAGCTGATGATGCTGCATCAGGGTGGTGTTGGACCTGAGCTGAGGTGGGCTGAGATCCTGAGCTAGGCTTAATGGACCAAAGACCAGGGCAGGGAATGTTGGCAGCTCTAGCAGCCCCTGTAGCCTGTTTGGGCTGGAGTTGGCCACTCACCCATCTGTCCTGGATTAGCTGGGAGGTGACAGGAACAGTCCTGAGTGCTTGAACTTACTGCTGGGTGAGCGAGCACTTCACTGTGTGGCTGCAGAGCTCCTGAGCCAACACCAGCTTTAACTTCTTGCAGGGTATGATCTCATCCCAGTGCTGGGCCTTCCCTGTGGCAGAGGAGCAGCGTCTCCACTTACCTCACTGCTCTGGGAACACGGTGGCTGCTAGTGTAGCTCATGAGCAGAGGATGAACAACTCTGCCTTTGTTAAATATGACAAAAGAAAGTATCTGTCAATCAATGAGCACGTTATTAGTCATACTGCTCTGATTAGATTTCACTTGTTATGCAGCCACTTTGCTTCAAGGAGTCCTGGCAATGTGTGCTGGCTCTGGTGACGTGTCCCCCTTGTCCTGCCCAGGTGCTGATGGCAGAGCTGCTGCCTGTCCTGGAGCCCAGCCCGTGCCCGGAGGGCTCTGCCCGGCTCTTCCGTGCCATCCACACCCAGCTCTGCCAGGGGGGCAGGAGCTTCCCTGTGCTGGTGAGGGATGAGCTGGGGGACTGAGCAGGGGAGCCTCCTGCTAGTCCTTCACACACACAGACAATTCTGAGCAATAAATCTTTTCTGTGAACTTCTTTACTCTGCCTGTTTGTTCAGCTAAAGTCCAGGGGGTTGTTTTTGTTATGGTTTTTTTTTCTTAATTTTTGTTGGGTTTTGTTTCTTCTTTTCTGTCAGGAGGGTTGGAGCCCCTCTGCTCTGGAGCCAGGCTGGGAGAGCTGGGGGTGTTCAACCTGGAGAAGAGGAACAGAAGGCTCCAGGGAGACCTTAGAGCCCCTTCCAGGGCCTAAAGGGGCTCCAGGAGAGCTGGAGAGAGACTTTGGACAAGGGCCTGGAGGGACAGGACAAGGGGGAATGGCTTCCCACTGCCAGAGGGCAGGGTTAGGTGGGATATTGGGAAGAAATTCTTCCTGGTGTGGGTGGGGAGGCCCTGGCACAGGTTGCCCAGAGAAGCTGTGGCTGCCCCTGGATCCCTGGTACAGGCTCCCCATGGCAGTGGGCACAGCCTCAAGGCTGCCAGAGCTCCAGGAGGGTTTGGATGATCCTCTGGGGCAGGGGGTGTGAATCCTGGGGATGGTCCTGGGCAGGGCCAGGAGTTGGACTCGATGACCCTTGTGAGTCTCTTCCAACTCCGCGCGTTCTGTGACCGATTTTTGCTCTGTCACATCTGGCGGTTGTTCCTGGGGCAGTGGCAGGATGGTGTCGGGATGCAGTGGCCTGGGAAGGGCGGGATGGTGTCGGGATGGTGTCGGGCTGTCGGGATGGTGTCGGGCTATCGGGAGGGTGTCGGGATGGTGTCGGGCTCTCGGGATGGTGTCGGGATGGTGTCGGGATGGTGTCGGGCTATCGGGATGGTGTCGGGATGGTGTCGGGATGGTGTCGGGATGGTGTCGGGATGGTGTCCGGCTATCGGGATGCAGTGGCCGGGCCCGCCCCGCAGGTGGCGCTGGGTCCCCGGCGGTACCTGCGCAGGTGCCGCTGGAGCCGAAGCCACTCCGGGAATGTTTCCCCGCCCTTGGAAAACGCGACTTCTGCAGCAGCTCCGGCCTTGTCACGCAGCGAAACGTCCGGGTTTGTTTCCTCTTGAATGTTGGGGTTTTGCATTTAAGTCCTCCGGAATTTCAGTGCCAGGTAAAGCTTTCGAGTGAAGTGGAAAACCTCTGCTTGTGAGCACCGAAAACTCCATTTAGGAAGGGCCACAGTTACCACAGCTTAGTCCAGTTTGCTTGAACCATACCTCTTAGCTGGACTAGGACTGTTTGCTTGGGGGGAAGGGGGATTTAGCTCTTGGCAGTGCTAAGACAGTCATTATTTATTTGTTATCTTTTTTCACGGCCAGAGTTTGCTGTCTGTTCAGAATGTCTGGCTCTTTCTGACACTCAGAATTCGCTAAAGTCATTCATATGATAGATGAAAATCAGCACCTCTTACTTCCACTTTATATTTTTATCACAGAATCACAGAATGGTTTAGGTTGGAAGGAACCTTAAAGCTCATCTCATTCCACCCCCCTGCCATGGGCAGGGACACCTTCCACTAGCCCAGGTTGCTCCAAGCCCTGTCCAACCTGGTCTAGAACACTTGCAGGATCAGACACTGTCTCCTAAATTAGCGTGGTCATAGGCCATGGGCATGAACATCTGCATGTTTGAATTTTAGAGCTGACATTTGGTATTGTTAATTATGGTGCTGTTATGGATAACTTGTGTCTGCAAGCACTGCATGAGTCATGGAGCATCTGCTTCTCGGCACTGAGCAGTCCAGTGGAACTTGGCAGCAACTTCAGTGCCACAGCAAGGGCTGCAGAGGTGTGAAAGTGCTGGGTAAAGCAGACTGAGCCCACAAAAATGGGGTCACAGGAGTTGTTAAAAACTCAAAATACAAGCTGACACTGTAGCAGGGTGCAGAAGGGGTGCAAACTGGCTGTTCTGTACCTCTGGGTGCAGTTTTATTACTCTTCCTACACCACATTTTATAGTTTTCATAAACGTGTAAGACTAAATCATTTGAATGACTCACTTTTTCAAACAAGTCTTGTGCTATAGCAGAGATTAAGAGTCAATAGCAATTGAATTCAGAGGTCGAGGGGTCTTTGTTATAAAATGTGCCTTTGTTATAGAAAGAAATTATCCTGGTACATCGAACTGAGATGAGAAGACAAAGACAAAAGGCAGTGTTTGATGCCAGGGGATAGAATTACAGAAATACAGGAAATGAGCAGTATTTTTGGAAAGTGATAGATGATCCCAGTGTTGTGTAGACATGAGCTGAGAGAAAGCGCAGCGAGGGTCAGGGAGGATTAACAGCTCTTACTCCTTCTTTGTTCCCTACAGCAGAGTTTTAAAAGGTTTTTGTTTTTATCCTACTGAAGGATGGGAAGCTGGATCCTAGGGAGGAGTCAGATTTTTTCCTTTTCTTTCCAGAATCTGTGGCTTTAAGTATTTCCAGCTGCTACAGTTTGTCCTTTCCACTGGCTCCCTTCTCTCCTTCCCATCTGCAACTTGTCCATGGGCTGTTTTTGTTTTGCAAACGCTGCTGTTAGTGCACTCTGTAGTCAGCAGACCTTTTCCTAGGACTTCACATGCACGTTGTCTTGGGTTAGAATTAGAGAATCACAGAATCCCAGACTGGTTTGGGTTGGAAGGGACCTTAAAGCTCATCTCGTTCCACCCCCTGCCATGGGCAGGGACACCTCCCACTAGCCCAGGTTGCTCCAAGCGCCATCTGACCTGGCCTTGGACACTTCCTGGGATGGGGCAGCCACAACCTGAGTGGGCAACCACAAACTGAGTTGTGGTTAGTTCTGGATGTTCATCATGTTGAACCCTCGGAGGGGTTTATGATGTAGATCCTACACAAAGTGCTGCTGCAGCTCCTCCTTGGGAGATACCTCATGGAGAGACTCAACAGTGTGGCTTTAGGGGTGCTCTCCATCTAAAGCAGAAATAATTTGAGCCTTGGTAAGAAAGAAGGCACCAGGAGTGGTGTGGAGGAATATTCTGCCTCTTCCAGCCTTTCTGAGGGGTCTGGCAGTGTGTGAGCAATGAGAACCTGCTGCGTGGCTGCGTGCACCCCACACCCCTGGGCAAGGGCAGGAGGAGCTCCCTGAGCCAGGAGCACAAACCCTGATGAGCTGTGTGAGGAATAAGGGAATTTCATCAAGGAGCAGTTTAAGAGGGTACATGTTGAGGTGGGAGGAAAGCTTCCAGCCCTCTCTGTATATGACAAATTTGCTGGGGTGTTATTCTCTAAATGAGCTTTCTGTGAGTTCCAGAGAGCAAGTTACTTGATTAAAGCACTGGGTGAGTCAAACCTGGAGCATTAACACCTGACTCAGCAACTTGTTGTGCCAGTCAGGGGTTTCTAGAAGGAGTAATGGTGCTGCAAAACGCTGAGACAGAGGTTGGATTGTAGAAGAGCTCTTGGGGAGAGCTGCCTGTCCTCCACACACATCCTTTAGTTTTTAGATTTTTTTTACTCAAACTAATCTCTCCCTGAGTTCCAGAATTCAGTGGGAGCTTGGGATTTCTAGGTGAAGCTTTGCTGAGAAATTTTGTCTGCTTCTGCTGAATCCGAAAGGGATGGTTTTGGGTTCCATGTGAGTGCAGAGCACGCTGAGGATGCTGGATGAGGGTACTGCAGGATGTGTCATACTCCTCCAGACACTGCCAGGGTGTCTAATTCTCAGTGTACTGTAAGCAATGAGTGGGAAATGCTTTAATAGCCTTGTGAAAGCCAGGAGAAGGGGCCAACTGGGATTTTTTTGTGGGCAGGCAGCCAGTTCATGGGTGTGCGTTTCCAATCCTGAGTCCTGTCACCGTGTGGGGTCACTGAGAGGCTGCAGCAGATGATGGATCTGACACCAGGACTCTTCACTTTTTACCTGTAAAATGGAGATTGAGATTATTTCACTTGCTCATGAGCTTGCTTTTGCAAGTCTGTACTCTCTGGAGCAAGGCCTCTTGTTTTGGTGGGTTTTGGTTGGTTTTTTGAGCATATACACTGGGACTGGTGCAGTTGACATCTGCTTTCACTGGCAGCCTCCTGGTCCTCCTTCACATCCATTAAAAACAACCTCACAAAAGAAAAACCCTAATCATGACTCAGTCCAACATAAAAACAATTCATGAAATAGGTATTAAAGTTTCTATCGTCCACCTTGCAGATACAAAAATACTATTTTCATAACCACCAACCAGAAGAAAAGGTCCATCTCTTGGTTTTAATCTGTGAAGAAAGAAGGGCTTTAGCATTGTAATCTAGAAAAATCTGGTTAATTAATCTGAGCTCAGTTAGAGAGAAGAGGGCAGGAAGCTGCCAGGGGATGAAGAGCTGGGAATGGGAGGGGGGGCAAATTAAAAGGGAGCTTTGAACTGTAATTTCAGAAGGCGAGAGATTACAGCAGTGGGCTATTTAGGCAGGCAAACGGAGATGTTTGACTTATTTTTAGCCAGAACGAGAAAGATAATCAGTGGATCCGGAGTTTGGATAGGAAAAAAGCAAATGGAAGCAAGCTGTGAGTCAGTGGAGGAGCCTGGCCCTGGAGAAAAGCCTCTCTGGAGTCTTCCCTCCTGGTTTCTGAGAACACCAGGGCCAGCTGTGCCAACACTAGGCTTGTCCTCGGCCCTTACACGTTGTAGTGGGAAACAATTTATTGGTCTCATTTTAGCTCCAGCTTAGAAAGAAGAAATGAGGGAGGCCTAATGTGTGTGTCCAGGTCAGTAACACTTCAGCAGATGACACCGGGTTGGACATTCTGTAGCACCTCAGCATCCTGCTCCCTCTGTTCAAGCTGTTGTGCCCCAGCTGTTGGTGCAGCTGGCCCAGCCTTGCAGCTCTGCAGTTTGGAAAAGTGCATTATCTGCAGATTTCACCCTTTGGGGCTTGTTTTCCTGTTTCACGTTCTAAATTCCAGAATACACAAGAGCTTTCTCTTGAGGTAGAGTCTCTTAGAGGACATGTTAGCAGTAAATCTTGCTTTTGAAGTTGTTGAGCAGCTGGGTGCTGTCATGCAAGGTGAGGGCATCTCACTGCCTCCAGGAGTGAAGGATTGGGTACCAACCAGGCACAGGAACGT